GGTATCCTCCCTATAATATCCAGGAAAGAACATGATCTTACACCTTGTATTGGAAATACATCTCTTCTAGTCTGCACTTGTCCAGGATTGTTGTTGCTGCTCCCTTGTGGGATGTAACCCCGACATTCATTGCATCGCAGGTAAGAAGTCATGTGCAGAGCTAGCAGGATACTTCATTTTTTCTTAACTCATTTTATAAGGTTAAAGTGAGAGACCCTCAAACACACATTTGTATTGGACTGGGCAGAATAATGCCGTGCCTAGTTAATTAGCTATCCAGATCGCATATAGCGTTTCTAGCTGTCATTTCTTAGAATGAAAAGGAATATAATGATATATTGTAAAGATTATGAAGGAAGATTGGTATGTATCAGGGTTATTACTTTAACTGAAAAAACATCAGAAAAATGTCCTAGTTTCTGTCTAGTTCCAAAGCTCAGTATATGGAACAAAACATCCAGGGGAATTAATTACTTTTTTGTTGAGGTTTTTTGTGAGCTTTTTAAATCCCAAGGAGATCTATGTGCAGGAGGGTATCAGTCATCTATACACAGAACTACATAAAGTATCATTAGAGACCCCTCCAAATACATTGATTTTTTATCCAGCAGCAGTGTATCAATATTTTAACCACTGACAACAAAATGTAGCCTTCATTATGAAGTGTTTTCCTCTGGGTAACTAAACGACTGTGTATCAGGGAAAATAAATAGTTGCCTCCCCACATCTTCTGCTTATGCAGAAAGTGAACTCCTCACATCGCTCTGGCAGAAGTGTTGGTAAGAAGTTTAATGTATTGCTCCCTCCTCCCACCAGCAGCTGTCTTATCCAGCCCCATTTTGCATTATCTGAGCTTTTTTTCTTTCTTTGAACCCCACGATGGGAAGACTCCTGAGCTTTCCAGGCCAGGACTGTGCTCATTTCCAGCCTAGCAGTTATTTGTGGCTGGGTTATACCCATTTGTCCCTGCGCCAACATCATAATTTGATTAAATAGCTCTTCTACCTGGCATTTATCTCATAGCAACCAGCTTCCAGCCCAGCTATCATTTAGCTAGACTAAACAAACAAAGGTTTTTGGGGGCGTGTCTCCAAGGGGGCAAGAAGTGCCGCTGATACGCTGGACCCCCCCTAACTGGACCCCAGTGAGCTGGTATGTTCAAACACTGGGCTGCTCCAAGTCGGACAGAAACAAGCTTCCATCCCAGAAGCACTTATGGGCAGAACATATAATAGTATACCTTGAACTACAAAGTCATTGGGTTTTTTCTTTCTCCACCTCCTATCTGGTTGGTTTGTTCTGAGCATCATTTTTAATGTAGCTGTTCAGCCAGTTGGGTATAAAGTCCGCTCCTGCAAGTCTCTTGGCACACAACTGGCTGATAGTATTAGCAGCGTTGACTTGAAAAGGAAGCTGAGCACAGTCTACCCTAAAGACCCTGAGATCTTCCACTGGTTTGTTTCATTAATTTGTCCTCTTGAAAAAGAGAGCCTTAATTATAAGCCTCTTTTTGTTTATATTTCTACTTACGTTAAACTAAAGGAATGCATTTCGTTCAGCCCAAGGTAATTTTGCTCCTAACTGTTCTTCTAGAATATCTTAAATTAATATCAACACCGAAGCTAAACCAGTTCCACTGCTTGCCAGTTTGGTGTTTCTACTGTGCAGAAATCTGCCATCTCCCATACAGAAATTATCTGAGCTCTGCGTGATTAGTAGCATTTTTTACGATCTACATCTAGAGAGTTTAAAGTACTCCATTACGATACAACTCCCCAGCAATATTTATATCCCAAGTAGCACTGCAGAGTCTCTACCGCAACCAGTCCAGCCCTGGGAATCTAAAACAAATTCCCCGAAGTGTCTCAGGAGAACCTCTTTCATGATCATACTCAAAAGTGAGTTAGACCTAAAGATTCAGGCTTATCCAGCCTGGCCCTCCTTAAGCCCGTGCAGTCCTTTTCATCACGAACACAAAGTGTTACCCGCTGTGGCTTTTTTTTTTTTGCCAATAGCTCTTTCTCTTCTGAACTGCTCTTTCTTCTCCGCAGCCGTGCCCCAGTCATAATTGCTATTCCACGGTGTTTTTCTTACCCTACATCGTTTGGTTTCACAGCTTGTGGAAGAAATACATGTTCTTCCATTTTACTGCCCAGCCCCCAGTCATTATTATACAAGAAATCCCTCCTGCTCGTCACACCTTGTTCACAACCTGGATTAGGAGCACTCCTTTCATTACACTGCAAATAACAATGCGGTGTTATTTTGCTTTCCTGAAAGCCATTAATCTGAGCTACTTAGGGCATTAGAAATGGAAAAGCAGCTCAGTTCTCTTCTGAATTTGCTGCAAACTTTGGCTTTTTAAACCTGTCACCCTCAGCTTCTGGCTGTCCTGGAAGCATGGTGACAACACGGGAGTTACCATACGGTGCAGCAGCCTAAATGACGAGGGTGAGCGTTGCATATCCACCGTGCACTGCACATCGTGTGTGACATTGTCACCCGAGAATAAGACTAGCTGTCTCACTAGCAGGGTGTTCCCACAGGTATAATTGCACCTCCATCTGGGCTTGCACCTTTTCACGCCCTTGAGCAGTGTGCCTCTGCTCCAGATGCCTGGGATGGTGTGCTCACCAAAACCCGTGATGGGATGCAGTGTACAAAATGTCCAGGAGAAGCAGAAGACGGGCCTAGAAGCCCGTGGTGGTACGGAATAAGGCACATCTAAAGGACTTGGATAGGATGAAGGGACAATTATGATGGCTCGGTGCAGCTGCATCCAGGTGGGCCGAGACCTCAGCTGGGAAGGGCGATGGTAGGCTGGGGCTTGGCCGTGCGGTTCTCTTCCTTCCTACCATTTCTGTAAGGTGTGGTTCAGCCTTGGCTGAAGATGATGCCAAACAGCTAATGTTTCTCCTCCCTCCCAGAGATGGAGGGCAGGAGGAGAAGTCTTCCCTGGGCTCCCCTCTGAAGGTGCCCAAGCCACCTCTCAAACGTGACCTCCCAGCTGGCTTGCCGTACCTCCTGGCAGTTTAGGGGGCACCACAGCCTAGAGTTGGAGGTTTACAGTTTTAATACAGAGCAAGTTAGGGCATAAACCCAGCTCTGGGCTGGACTTAGATGTGATGTGAAAATCGATCATTCGTTCCTGGGTCATTGACTTTCCTCTGGCATGGATTAATCACATGAGGTGGGTTTTTTTTGTTTATCTCTCAGCTTTCTCAAGGGGATGGTGGGTGTTTGTTTGTTGGAAGTCAATAGGCACAGTGCATTTGGCAGAGGTCTTAAGACCACAATGCAAAACCAGCAACAAGACTTTGCACCTATCTGGTTTTTTACTAGTTTTTCCAGAGACAGTTCTTACCCTTAAAAATGACCCAAACAGAACAAGGATTGAGGCTTATTTTTACTGAGGATGGAGAGCCCTGCAGCAATCCTATTTCATGAATAAACTGTATTAACCTGTTTCCCAGCGCGGTGAGTCAGAAACATTTGGTGTCCAGTAAATTCAGATTTCAAGGCTGTGTCAAAATGTGCAAAGGGGAATCCTGGAAAAAAAAGCACTGCTGTGACAAGCTCCTGAATGGGAAAGCACCTATTTAATCACACGCTCTTTCAACATCTCTGAATCAAGCAAGGTAGGACCTGACACAGGCTTCCATAACTATGTCATGAACTTGCCTGTTCATGTCAAACTAAAGTAGACTGTGTTTATTACAAAATAATCTGCGACTGAGTTGACTCTGAAGGTCAGAGCAAAGGCCAGGCAAAGGTGAAATGAGATACAAATGCTGCTGAGGTAAGCCAGATGATGACTCTCAGAATGTGTCTTGTATCACCATGTGGACTGACATCCACTTATCAGTCAACCCAGCATCAATCACAGCAACATCCCCAGAGACACGAGGCATTTGATGTGCCAAATATCTGTAGCACCCAGTTATTTGCACCCAGTGCAGTCAGTAAACTCCCTTTTGAAGACGGCAGCTCTGCCAATAGGAAGGGAATTGCTCGTTCTAGAGTTCTGAATGAAGTCCTAAACATGCTGTAGTGCAAACCATATAGCCTCCTGCTCTAACATTATGGGCACTGACAAACACCATCCAAAGAGCCTAGCTTTCTCCACCATCGTAATCTTCTCTTAGCACGTCCATACCTCTAGGATGCTATCACTTTTCTGCACCATCTTTACAGGAGAACCAGTACAGAATTTGTGTTTTCCCTTTGCTTGTGTCTTTTTGCCAGCCGCTGCAGAATGGTGGGTGCTGTTTTTATTTGTGAGCCATGAGCTGGTGTTTTAGAAATGATGGTACTTTAACTGCTTCCAGTTGTGGAATGACAGTATTGCTCTTACAAAATGCCTGGCCACAAGCCAGCAAACAAGGTGGACTTCTAAAGCCTTTATAGGGGGCAAATTCTTGCCTTTGTTAGAAGCTGCTTCTGAGCCACCACAGGCAGAAGCAGGCAGCGCTTGCTCTTCACAACACAGAAAGAAAAATATTTTAAACAAAATCTTAAATTTTGCCAAAGTTAATTCAGCTGCCAGAAAAGATCTTGTCATACGATATACAAATAACCTTTTCACTTCTCTTTCCATTTTGTAAACCAACTCTGACACCTGCTTTGGGATTTACCTTTTCATTGTAACTTGGTTTTATTTATTTTGGTGGAGGAGCCCAGAAGCATTACTCAATAAGAAGTCAGTTATTACTTACTATTACAACAGAGAAACTAGCTGAAATGCCTGACAATGTATACATCAAATAGTGTGAACTTTAGACAGTTCAGCCAGGCATTTATCTGTCCCGTGAATCGTGTTTTTCAGATTAGCATACTTTGCTACCGTTGCCTTCCACTCCTCCTCCTTCGTGACAGAAGGACAGCCCCTAAGTCATATGATGGGACACAAAAGATTGCACACTGTGAAACTCTCCTATTTCCCACAGACCTGGGACAAACACATCAAGACATAACGCAAAACCAACCAGAGAAGAACCAAAATGAATCTTCTTCCCACCTTCTCTATGGAGACATGGGCGCTTTCACTTATTTTTGTAGCCCTCCTGATAGTGTGAGTAAAATATTCTTTGTTGGTCCTTTGCTCATGCCATTTTCCTGTTCATGCCATTGTTCATTTTCATGCAACTAGTCTGCCGAACAGCAAACAGGTAGGTGTGATTTCCAGATTCCAGCCTCTAACGAAGCTCTGGGAAGTAGCAGAGGAGTCTAAAGACCATACAGACGTGTAATCTTTCTCCAAGGCTTGGAGTGTTCCCGTGCACTGTTACGACCTTGCTGCTAAGCATCAAAGCAATAATCAATCAATAATGGTGCCAGGCATTTGTCACCAGCAGGGTGCTGGCTTCAGTGAGGATCGTGATCCGTTCGGTTATTTTCCACAGAAGTACAGCGTAAGGAAGGCTGTGCCTCCTGACTGAGGTTGCCCTATGGAGGGGAGCAGGCAGTAGATGACCCTACTGCACGACCTGCAAAGATGGAGAGCAGCAGAAAGGCACCAGAAAAAGAGCATTCATAGGATCAGTTCCTGCTCTTTCTGACTCCTTCCGTAGTGCTCAGGTAAGATGCTCCATGCATGGGCACCTGGACCAGGAGGGACACTTTGCAGAAGTTAGATTTGCCACACGCCTGCAGGGACAGCGTCCCATGCCCGTCCCCACAGCCCACCCTTGCTGGGAGAAGAAATGAAGCCCAGAGCAAGGTCAGCTCTCTGCTCTTGGCTTTCTGGATAGACTCCATCAGGCAGAAGTGTACCCCGCTGCTTCAGAGGAGCCGTGCTAATGAGAAAATGCTTTTGTCCGCTTTGCTGATGCTGTTCGGCGCTGCAATGTAGCAGGGCTGGCTGAAACCCCCCTTCTGCTGGGACATACAGTGTCTCCACTGGCAGCCCCTGCCAACAAGGCCGGACTGACAAACTTTGTAGTGTTGACAAGCCCTTAGGCAGAGACAGCGTGTTGCTAGCCATAAACCTTAATGATTAATGTGGTGCACATGAGCACAATCCATTTGCCTGCCCTGGCAATGCTCCAACCATGGCAGTTCAGTAAGCTCTGAAACTTTTAGCCCTGTTTTCCAGACCCTTTCCTGTGATTCGGATCACTCAAAAGCCTGTTTGGGGCAGGCTCTTCAAAAAAAAAAAACAAAAAAACAAACCCCAAACAAAACCCCACCCTCATTATTGACCCAAACCCTTGTATTTCAGTAACTCTGTGGCCATCTAAGATTGCTGGTTATCAGACTCCCACCTTCTGCAGCCACTTGCAATTTTGTTGTGGCAAAAGGGATGAAGCCCAGATCTTTGTGCTCTGATATCTGAGCTAAAATAGAAATTTCACTGCCTGTTAGCACAGGGAGGTTGTTCAGATGCTTCTTGTCCATCTGGGGCAACGCTGTCCCAGTTCACACATGAAGGAATATCAGGCTTTTCTGGTTCACATCCATGGTAAGAAGTAATGATTATTCTCTGGCTTTACACTGAATGGTCCTTCTCAGCCTGCAGAAAACCATGTCACATTTTAGTTGTAAGAACATTAGACTGCGTTTTCCTGGCCATGTTTCAAACAGATTAAGCCTAGCCTATGTTCCTATAGTGTTTCTGGCTTTGTAACCAGCCCAGCCTGGCGTTTCCTGGTCCTCCCACAGCCCCGGCTGCCCAGAAACATTTTGTACCTAGTACTGAATTAACCTTTGACAGAAAAGGTTGACAAACTGAGCTCCGTGAAACCTTTCTGCACCTGGAAAACACCCCGTTCCCTGGTTTTTGCCTGCTCTGTTCAGACCATAAGATAAGGTCCGCTTTTGTGCTCTGGCAAAACCCATGCTGGGGGGACTGATCTCAGTTGGGGTCCCCCAGATTTAGGAAAGTATTACTAATTGCAAGGGAAACCCCCCTAAGTCTCTGCCTAGACTCTGGCTTTTCAGGAAAGCATCCCCAAGATGCTGGCTGAGCGGCTGCTGCCCCGTGGCCCAAAGAGGATCTCTGATAACATCCCTCTGCCAAACCTTTGCAGTTTTACATCCCTTCTGCAATGACCCGCTCACTTGGGAAGCTGCAGCTACTAACTAAAACCAAATATTTTGAGGAGCTCTTTCAACACAGCCAAAGACAAGCTTCAAAGGGCTGCAGCCCAGGCCCTTGTTGAGAAACAGAAGGCCCCGAGGTAGAAGTAATAACTTTACAGCTGCCAAAAAGGGTGCTTCAGAGGAAAGAAATCTGCAAAGCTGTCAATAAAATCTAAAGAGAAAACCATCGCGACAAGACTTCCTGACGCACCACTGAGCTAACGCCGGGCTAAGGGGAGGGAGAACAATAAATGAAATTAAAGTGCAGCTTGACAAAAGCCCTGTTTGGGACATCACTTCTGGCACTGCTTTGATTTCTCTTCAGTAAAAACGTGTAAGCTCGGTGTTTCTTCTTCCAGCTCCCTTTTCTGCCTCTCCTTTGGTTGACTTTTGCTAAAGGCTTTAAGGTCCTGTTTCCACCAGAGCACCTATGCCATTAAGAGACAGCTGCTTTTACATCTAAGTGATCTCTCTGAAGCTCTGTGTGGCAGCAGTGAGCTTTACCATGTTTATTAAGTAGTTTTTACAGGACAATTTTCTTTTGGGCCACTTTTTTCCAGCTCCTGGTTCAACCTCCTCTACTTAGAGCCAAAGGAACGTTGCTGCAGTCTCCAGGTTTAGGAGAGCTCGCAGCTCTGATGCCACGGTGATGTAGCACTCGGTTGTCTTTTCTGTCCTACAGATATGGGACCTGGCCATTTGGTTTGTTCAAGAAGTTGGGTATTCCCGGGCCAAGGCCTCTGCCTTTCCTTGGGACGTGCCTGGAATATCGCAAAGTAAGTGACTGACGCCTTCCTTGCTCCAGAAATATCCGCCTTTGCTCATACAGCTGTAGCTCAACAGATACAGGGCGATGATAAGTTATCTCCAAATGCCAAGCTCCGCTCTAACGCACAGGTTGTGCAAAGGCCAGCGCGGGATAAGGGCTCAGTAACGCAGACCACGGGGCCTTGCCTTTACAACATCTCCAAACAAGCACTCGTGGGTGGCTGATTTACAGCTGCCCTTTGCCGGCATCCTGGCAAACAGCTCATTCACAAGCATGATGTACATTTATGCTGTCCTTCATGATGTTTTTGGAGAGGAGGAGAACTCAGAAGGCAGCTCTGAGCATCAGTTTACAGATATTCCTCCCAATCTGTCATCTCCAACATCATCCCCGCCGCTGCATCCTCTCTTAGATCATTTTTAAATTGCTTTCCACAGGGTTTCTTGAAGTTTGACAATGAATGTTTCCAGAAGTATGGGAAAGTCTGGGGGTGAGTATGAAGCACTGATCTCTTCTTAAGGTAAAACTAGAATCCATACAAAGGGGAGAATTCAGTAGGAAAGCTCCCTTTTCTCTACCTGCAGCCCTGACGGTCCCAGCACGATAAGTACAGCAACGATAGGGTTGGTTTGGTGGTGGCTTACATTAAAGCCTGACGACTGCAGGGCTGTGCCACTCTCATGCTATATGGAAATTGCTTTGACCTATACTATGAAAGCTGTTTTAAAGCTGATAACAAAGGGCCCTCACCTGCTCCTAAGAAAATCAGCAGCAAAACTACTATTTACTTCAGGGACAATCTGGAACTGGGAGATCGGGTTCCTCTGGTTTACCAACAGCAGAGGATTGTGAGTGACTCCCAATACTGAGTGAAGATCCAAAGTCTGCCAACTGCCTCGTGCTGCTGATCCTCACCTGCTGCGGTGGGAGCTAGTGCAGCTATCGCTGCCCTGCTCTGGACACCTCCTATGGCTTTTATCGCTGCTGTTATAACTTGGGCTACAAACTTGCATATCCTCTATAATGCATCCATTGGTCCCCATAGCAACTTTAAAAAATAGAGTCTGGAAAAGATATCGTTACAGAAATGGGGAAAATGCATAAATCTGCTTAATCTGCATCTGTTCAAGGAAAGCATTCAGAACTGGCAGCTTAAAAAGACAAAAACAAGGATTGAGTTTGATCTCCAAGGATATTTCAGTGCTGTCAGCCCAAGTCTCCAGACACCCAATTCGAGAGCCTGAAAGGGGTCGAACAAGTTTCCTTCTAATACTGTAATGTGTTTAAGTGCCTGGAAAAACACAGAGAGTCAGGGGAGAAAGTGAAGATGCTTCATTTCCTATCTGGTCCTTTGAGGGACTGAGCCCTGCTCATTTCCCAGTGAATTTGGAAGGTGTTTAGCCCCCTTTATCATTTACAAAACCAGATGGGAAAAGGCCTGGGAGTTCTTTTCCATCTCTACTTTCTACGTTTCTGTACTTAGGCATCTACAGAACAGCAAGGCTGGTGATGGAGGAGCATTTGTTTAACATGTTTTGTTTCACAGGCATCAGTCAAGCCTTGCACTTCAACTACCTGGGGTTGTTAATTTGTCTCCTCTTCTCCTCCCACCAGGATTTACGATGGCAGGCAGCCTGTGGTGGCTGTCATGGACCCCCAGATCATTAAATGTGTGCTGGTTAAAGAGTGTTTCTCCACCTTTACCAACCGGAGGGTAAAAGCAGAAGCATTGTGATGTACCACAGAGTCCAAAAAACGAAGTACAGGAGGAGACAAGCACGTAGCAGGGTTCCCATAGGGGATGAGCGACTGCACTATAGGGATTACTGTAAATGGCCACTGTATGTCACTGTTCCCCTGCCTTATAGTCTGGGGACTGTGCACCCAGGCTGGCAGAGGAAGCCGTTTGCCTGCGTATCCGACAAATTCTGCTCTCACACTTATATATACATATGGATGAATTTGAGTCTGCGAGAGCATGCAGCAACCTGTAAGGGTCCAGCTAGCACGTGTGCCACAGCTGGGATGCAGGCTCTGGGTGGCATGGCTAGGCATGGGTACACACATACGAGTGTTGGGCTTGTTGGGTTACTTGTTCTGGGTATGGAAATGGCATCTCACAGCTGGTTTACTGCAGGAAAGGGGATATTTATGTATGCGTGTCTTGAGAGAGGCTGTTTGTAAGGCCTTCGCCTGCTGCCAGCAGTAATGCCCCTGAATAACCTGGGCAGGGACTTGCATGCTACATTCCCATCCTTGCAAGGAAGCCACTATCTTTTCTGGGGTTAACGCCTTGCCTTTTCCTCTCTAGCGTTTAGATATAGCAGGGGAGATGAAAAACGCTGTCTCACTAGCCGAAGACGAACAGTGGAAAAGGATTCGTACTGTGCTCTCTCCAGTCTTCACCAGTGGGAAACTAAAGGAGGTAAAACACAGAGGACCAGGTACAAACTACATCAGAAAGCCAGTAGACAGTGTTTTCAGGCTGAGATTGTCACAGGGGTCCGATTTCTTTAGTCAGAGCCTGGCAACTAAGCTGGCCTGTTTAATTTATGCCTAATTTAAAACGAAAAAGGCTTAAAATAAAACCTTAGCAGAAAGATCTTATTTGTAAATGTTCATGATACTCCCTGTAGTCTTCATAAGCCTGTCTTAAAGGAGTAAAATGTACTATACTTAAGTGATCATCTCTGGTTTGTGTTAAAGATGTTCCCTATAATGAAGCACTATGGGGAAGTTTTGGTGAAAAATGTTCAAAAGCGAGTGGAAAAGGACAACGCTCTATCTCTAAAGGAGTAAGTAGCTGCTAGGAGCAGCAGGCTAAGCAGTAAACCTTGTTGGCAAGTGCTGCGGTTCATTCGTTACTGGCAACACAGATCACTTGCTGGGTAAACCAGACCTCCAAAAGGAGGGATAGGGCTAGCTGAAAGCCTGGCTGGAAATTTGAAAGGGAAAATTTAAGCTGGGATGTTAGTGAAACTTCCTAGAGGCAGAGACCCAGAGAGAAGTCTTCTAAAGGGAATTAAATAGAGAGGAAAATGCTCCAGCACAGCTTTGTGAATCCACAGATACAAAATAACCCCAAATCCACCAGGAAACCCCATTTTTCCCTGCATATACTCAGGATCTCTGTGCACCATCTTCTTATACCGCAGGACACTGGAGTTGCTGGCCTCTCTGCCCCACACACAGCACTGTGGGATGCTCGTCCATCACTTGCCCCATTGCTGAGGGGAGTGGGAAGGGAGGCTGTAGTGTGGCCCTGGGTGTGTCTCCTCATCTGTGCCCTCCATATGGGCTCTGGAACAAAACCTCTGTATTTCACTTCACCCCCGATTTCAAAGCACAGATGCAGAAGGGGCAGCTGCACACCAGTAGTCACACACCAGCAAAGCTCTCCCCCCTACCAAAAACCCCATAAGGAGAGGGCTTGGACAGTTTGTAATATTATAGGGCTGTGCTGGGTTGAACAAGACCATTTTCCTGGCATGTTCGAAGCAAGGTCTGTTACCACCCCTCCCCAAGAAGCTAACAAGCTCGAGAGCCACATGCTGTCCTTGCACTAACCCCTTCAGGTAGCTACATGCTGTTTTAAAATCCTCAGAAAAGCTGTCCGATTTCAAAACCCATGCAGGCTTGAAACCAAAGCTCTCTAAAAATCTATCCCTTTCACTACAAGTGCTTTTCAGTTACCATCTATCGAATTTCCTTTTCAAAAGCAGGGCAGGAGGTCTTATAATAATTTATATTTGAATATCACATAGGCATTAGGAAAAAACATATCCACTCGGTCCAAATATTTAACCACAGTCTATCTTTTCCATCTTTCCTCAGCATCTTTGGAAGCTACAGTATGGATGTCGTCACCAGCACTTTGTTTGGCGTGAACATCGACTCCATGAACAACCCCAAAGACCCCTTTGTCAAAGAGATAGAGAAGATGGCCAAGTATGACTTGTTTCACCCGATCTTCCTCTTGACATGTAAATGACTTTTTTGCCGAAAACTTCATTCTGGTGTCAGAATACTACTGAAGCGGGATTTTAGCAAGTGTATCAGAGACTCGTGCATCCTATACATTAGCCAATCAACTATTGCTTAGATAACTTCACTAGCTAGGATGGAAGTCCTAATGGCTCTTGTCTCATCGTTTCCTCATTGTTGGCTTCATGTTAAAACTCTGGGAAGGAGATGGGTAAAAACTTCCTCTACCTTTTGCATCCACAATGCAAGAAACATATGAGGATCCCAGCCAATATCCAAGTGCTGGAAAATGGCTCGAGGGTTGAAAACCAAGTTCAGCTGTGAGGCTTGAGGAGCATAGTGCTATCTGAAATGCATTTTCTGGAAGAGAGTGCTGAGTGGGGACTGTAATTAGATGCAATTTCCTAGCAGTGCAATAGCTTACAGTGGTGGTGATGGAGATGGACCTTAAATCACTTGCAACCTTAAAATCCAGATTAGATACCTTGCTAAAACACAGGGAAAGTTGTGATCTGTGCATAGAGGAGGTTCTGGTGCTGTATATTTTAGGAATCTATACACAAGCTCAAGATCCAGTTTCTATAATGAAGGAAAAGCTCTGAAGGGGACTTGAAAATATTTGCATGAGCATAGCATGGCAGTGAATAGCTCAGCCTGAAAAAAGAATTTGCAGTATTTCTCTTCTGAGCCACATTCCTGTCATAGTGCTGTACAATGCACAGAAGTAACCTGTCCCTAGAAAAAGAAGGTGGCATATGCTTTGGTCATCTCTTAAAGCAAAGATTATACCCAGCTCAGGTGTGCCCAGTTGACAGGAACTTGGGAGAGGGTTACATCAAGACAAACTATCCCAAGAAAGAAAGAGGGGAAAAAGGCAAAGCCCAGGCTTTGCCCAGGTAAAGAAATCAAGAGAGGAAATAATTTCTCAGTGACATCATTACTTCCTCAGTAGCACCCATAGCTATCTTATATGAGGTGGAGTTTGTTTACAGTGTGCGATTTTATTCTCAATTTGTTTTTCAGATGTATGTCCATTCATTGTTCCTCTGTTTGTCAAGATGAATGAAAGCTTCGGCCACAATGAGACTCTGGAGTTCTTCAAGAAATCCATCTCCAAAATTAAGCAGGATCGTGAAAAGGAGACTCACAAGGTAAGCAAGCATGAATTTGCTAGCAATTGTGGCAGAAAATACACTTAAGTGAAATATAATTAGGGTGATGATATCAAAGCTGAAGCCAAAGTACAATGACTCAACAAACCCCTGAATCTACTTAAGTGTAAACACTTGATTTTAACACTGCCAGAAAAGCCTTACCTCACCAGCCCTGGCAGAGAAGCAAGTGGACTTTGTACATCCATGATCTGAAGCTAAATCCAGATAAAGGCTCAGCAGAATTACGTTAAGCTTGGGTTTGCAAAACTTGTAATAAGTCAACAAAGTAAGAGACTCCTTGAAGAAGATTAGGCTGAGGATAAGAGAGAGCAGAGTAAGCAGCACAAGAGCAGCAGTATCACCTTTCAGGGTTGCACCTTCCCCTCTCACTTTTCAAAAATTGAAGCTGCTTCCTGGCAAAATTCTTCCTTTTAGAGTTTGGATGCCTTTCCTGAAATTCACTCGAGACACTGCTCTCCCACCAATGGCTTCATGAAAAGGACAGATAGGTTTCCAAAATAAAATGCAAGTGGTGCGTTTCACAACAAGTCATGTGCATTTTGGGGACACTTTCAGTTTATGAATTGTGCTTAGGCTATGAAATCTGCTTATCTGAGCCCCCCGAAGGGCCTGTCACCAAAGAAATTCTCCTGCTTTTCTTCTCAGGGCAGAGTAGATTTTCTGCAGCTGATGATTGAATCCCAGAACTCAACCAATCACAGGAGCAACGAAGGAAATCACTCAAATAAAGGTAACAACATCCTAATATTCAATATTCATCACGGGAACAGGGGCTGTGGGAGCGAGGAGAATATGGGGAGCTGTTTCCCAGACAAAGGCTCAAAGGGTCACCACCATCTCCATTGACCAGCTCCAGGCAGAAGTCTCTGTCCCTCGTTGCCAGCACTGGGGCTAAGGGGAATCCCTCAGGTCCTTTGCCAGGGATTAGGACTGCTGTGTCAATCATTTATACCCGGGAAATCATCTGGCTCCTCTATCAAATGACTTTTTCCAGACAGATGGCAGAGTAGCTGTAAATGTGTTATCAGAAAACAACCACAACAAACCTGCCTCAACCCCACCCATTGCTACCTGTTCCTTGCTGAGACCATCAGCCAACACCAGTTTTGCTCATCTCTCCATGTCCTCTCTTCTCACAGCCCTGACCGACTCAGAGATCCTGTTGCAAGCATTCATATTTATTTTTGCTGGCTATGAGACCACCAGAAACACGCTTTGTTTCCTGGCGTATGAACTGGCCACGCATCCCGACGTGCAGCAAAAACTGCTGGAGGAAATCAACACCGTTTTACCCAACAAGGTAAGGGGACCTTGAGTGATGGTGAAATCCCTCTGACCCTGCTGTCCTCCTTGTTCAGTCAAGACAATGAGAAATCTTTAGCTCCTAAACACCCTCCTCCTGGGATCTTCCAACAGGTCTAAAGAGACACTGAGACAACTCAGCCCTGTAGCAATTTTATTTTGGCAGCTGAAACCTTACAGGCCACCCCATTGCACCAACTTATTTGCCATATTCCGCACCCATACACAAGTGGATGTGGATTTCCAGGCATTTCCATCACTCAGGGGTGGAAAATGAAACCAATTATGCAATTTCTACCTTGCATTTTGTCCTTCAGAGAGTCTGAGTCGTAAGTTGGGGCAGCAGGGGTTGGGGACGCTCTGGTCTCAGCAGTCGTTTTGGGACAATCCTGTCCTCATGCCAACATACCTGGTCACCTTTCTCCTGTCGTCCTACAGGCTCCTCTCACATATGAAGCAATGATGCAATTGGAGTATCTTGACATGGTAGTGAATGAAACCCTTCGGCTCTTCCCCCTTGGAGGACGGCTTGAGAGAGCCTGCAAGAAAGACGTAGAAATAAATGGAGTGACCATTCCCAAAGGAAGCATTGTTATGATCCCATCCTATATCCTGCACCACAACCCCGAGTACTGGCCAAACCCAGAAGAGTTCAGACCAGAAAGGTACAAAAAACACAATGAAAGGGAAGAAATATCATGCTGCTTTTTCCTCACATAGTAATTAAGTAATTAATCTCTGATTAGCTTCCTAATGGTGTTCTTCCTATCTTGTTACAAACAATACCGATGAGAAATTGCAGGCTCATGGGAATGTCATTTTAAGAAGAAAATGAGCTTTGCGCTTAAAGCAGGGTTTCAAATAACGTAATCTCGTTGGGAGAATAACACTGATATCTTCAACATCTTGTACGCAGTTTTTAGGCTTGCTGACAGAGTGGGTAGATGGCGAGTTTTTTGTAATTGCTAGCCATCTTTCTGTATATCTTCATTGCTGAACCTCTTGCCATCACACAGCCTTTGCTACACAATATACCAGAGTTGATCCTTCCGGAGTTGCCTTTCCTCTTTGTTTTCAAGGAATTGATAACTTTTCTCTAGTTGGTTATTTTTATAATTGGTATCAACTTCTCATTCCCAGCAAGACTGAAGCCATAGGCTGCTCCTAACAGACAACCCCTGGTTTCTCTCTCGCTAAATACAACAGATAGAAAATATCAGTCATTTTGGGAGCGTGTGTAGATTTTCACATTGCTCCTATCTTCTTCTACTCTGGATGGACAGAATTAAACTAAATGCTGAAGTGGGATCCCACCCCATCCTGGGTGAGGGCTCCGACGCAGCACTCGATTGCTGGGGTATGCTGAGATACCTTAGCAAAAAGCCGAACAAGTCTCTGTAGGGCACCAGCAAGAGATCTCTGGATAAGTAATACAGATACGTAGCTTTTTGGGTTTTTGCTGCCTTCATTTTTTTCCCCAACCATGTCATTTTCCAGGTTCAGTAAGGAAAACAAAGAGGCTATAGACCCGTATACGTACCTGCCCTTTGGAGCTGGTCCCAGGAACTGCATCGCGATGCGGTTTGCTCTCCTGATTCTGAAAGTTGCCATCACCATCCTATTACAACATTTCACCTTCCAGACCTGCAAAGAAACTCAGGTGAGGAGCACATTACTTTTTGAAACTCGCACGCGAAGAGCCGGGTGCCTGGTTTCTGACCGTGGGTGCTAACACCAGATGCTTTGCACTTTCAGGGGAGGTGCACTTCGGGCACTACGGCTCAAGTTATGTCCAAACCGTGGCCAAGTTTCTTTCCTTTAATCTCTACTTATTTAATTCGTCTATCTCCAGGTGTGTTTTTCCTCTTATTGTTGCAGATCCCTCTCAAGCTGAGTCCACGGGCTATCTTAAGACCAGAGAAACAGATTATTCTGAAGTTAGTCCCCCGGACCAACACCGCACCTGCAGAGGCGTAAAACCCAGCCGTGTCTGCAACAGTTCTCCAGCGCCTAATGAGTGCTGTGCTAACAAAGGCATCACACGTCGCAGGAAATCTCTCCTACACGTACAGACACAGAAGAGCAGCTCCAGTTAATTCTGGAAGCAATTACTACATATTTACTAATAAACATAGCTGTCAGAAATGTAATGTGGATCACTGGGCAGTGACAATACACAGTCCCCTTAATTTTGATTGCAGAAAACAAGAAATAAATCCAAATGAGAAGCTGATCATCCACTTACTTCTAAGGGGACTTCTCCATCTGGAGAGAAGGAATTACTGTCGCATCCAAGAGAAACAAGGTGTGATGGAAATTCAAATCGCCAGACCTTGCTGGGCAGGGACGGGTGACGTTGTTCTTGGTGTACTGATGCTTGAAATTTCATGTGTTATAATTGAGACGACTGGTGTGAGACTACATCCTAGTTACCAAACCTCTCTTGTGCCATGTGTTAATTAAACTAAAGTGTGTACAAATACTGTCATTAAAAATGTTTGAGAGCTGCTCTGTGTTGTGTATAGCAGCTGATCACTTCCTATTTAAAAACCGTATTCAGCCTCAACCCTTGAAATTATCCATGTACATTGCTTTCCACTTAATTTAATGAATCTGATCCTTCATTTAATGCGATCAAACCCTCCCATTTGTACAGTATTTTACAAACACTCCAACTGCCACCTCTTAGTTTGATTAAGAGGTTGCCTTCAGTTCAGCACTGGCCAACCCTCTTCCGTGCTGGAGCGACAGAGGACGGATTGCAGAGGAGCAGCTCGCAGGAGGTGACAGCACTGCAGGAGGGCCACTGCTCCTGGGGAAATTGTCTGGACACAGCTCGTAGCCGAGCCTTGCCTCCCAGAGCCGTGGACGGGGTTTACACATTGCCCGTGGTGCGACGTTAGCCTGCTGCGAGCTGCTTTGCTCTTGAACTGCTCCAGAGCAGTCTACAGCTTGGACCCTATGGGCTGGTCCTGCCATCAGCGTGGCCAAAGGACTTACGCCATCCCCGACCATGTAAACAGGGAATATCAAAAAGCAGGTGGGAGGTTCTCCTGGATCTGAAATTTCACACGCCAGTTAACCCCAGTATATTGTGCTGGTCCTGACACCTACAAACCAAGAAGGATGCTAGTAAAATGGGAAAGGTTTTTAGAAGAGCTGCAAACCAGATCAAGTCACCCCTTAACTTTCTCCCGGCATCCTTCACTCCAAGGCAATATTTTCCAAATCACGGTCTATAATTTTCTCCCGTGGCCACATGCTTTTCCCTTTAGTCTAGCAGAAAAAACTGCAACATGACCCAAATGCTACAATCCAACATAGTACAAGTTTATTCAAGAACTCATGTCCATTCTTTAACAACAAGACCAATGAAGGGGTTTGGGAGCAGCCAGCCAACAATGCAGTGCATTCCTGATCATTGGAAATCCCCAAATCAAAGCTCTCCATTTTTCAGGAAAATACAGCAACATCCACCAGGCTCTAATTCAAGAGCAAGCAGCTTGTGCTGTCCCAAAAGGCAGATAAAACAATTATAGTGCTCCCTTCTGATTCATCATCTGTGAGAAATTGTTTGGGTTTTGCTATGTACACAGCAAGGCATAGTTAGGAGTGCTGCCAGGGGGGCCCTTCCTCAGCTTAAACTGTTGCTCATCTTTTACCAGGGGTTAAAAACCACCAGTGGAAGAGCCGGGCCTGTCTTACTGCTGTAATGCTGAGCAGCTCTGATGGGGAGAATGCAATGCCTCTGCATGGACAGACTAGTTGAAAAATGCATTTTCCCCATAAAAAAATAGTGCTCAGCAAAACCAACGCCAGATTCAAGGAAAGGGGAAGAAAGGGGAAGCCATCATGAAAGCAGCAAGTCACTTACATGCCAAACAGCTGCTTTGAAGCAAAGAAAAGTCATTTTGGTATCTCATGAACAAAATCAAGCATCTTTGCATGGTGCTTAGAACCCGAAAGGGTTAATCCAGCCCTACCCCCAGACAGGCAGTCCCTGCCCAGCACGTGGCACCTCTGGGAATGAAGTCATTAACGTAACTGTACAGATCATTCTTCCAAATGTGAAAAATGTGACTAATTCTCTGGCTTCAGCCAATTATGACCTGCCAGGACTATCATAACAGCCCATAAATAGTGTGTAACAAAATCATGGTAATGAGTCTTCTAGAAGAAAATTAGATCCTCTGTGTCTTAACTCCATAAAATTACTTTGCTTATAAGGGCTGCCTCCATCATTCCCAGCACTTTGCTCTGCTTTGTGGGCCATCCCTCTGAAATGGATGTGACTTGGCCAGGAATCTGCTGGTCCTGGTAGCTGTGCATTCATCAGATTTGTTTTCACTGGTTTGGCTGTTTCCTCTTTAAACCAGACATATCACTGCTTAACTGGACTTTCAACTGTTTTCGCTGATAAAACATATTTACTTTATCTAGACCTTTAACTGTTTCAACACATCCTTGGCAGGCCTGGGACATCTTATTGTCCCAAGAGAGTTGGGTCTTTTTCAGAGGAAAGAGCTTCCAAACACAGTATAAGGTAGAAGTTAATTTTGGGGACACTTCTGTTACACTTCCTCCACTAAATCCTTCCAAACCCTAAGTAAGAAGGAAAAAAGAATGAAAAAAATCAATGTTACATCAGTATTTAAAAAAAAAAAATGCTTTTCTTAAAGATTTTACAACCGTGTCTCATCAGAGAAGTTATTGTCGAATCACTGTGCAAGCGTAACAGACTCATACCCTGGTAACACACTGGCACCACTCAGGAAGACTTCTGTAAGTATGCAGAAATATATTCCCCTTAATACAGAAAGGCTTGCTGGGAACTTTCCAAAAGAGATATATACCCCCTGATACAAGAACTGTTATTGTATCAGTCCTGATGAAAGACAAAAATGGTTATAAGTGGGGAGATTTGTTTTCTGTTTCTCAGTTAACTGTAGCGGAGTAACCATCAACGTTACAGCAACTTGCCCAAATGATGTAATACTTCCAGTTGATTGCGGTGATCAAATGGATTTTATGAAAAACAGGTTTCCTGCTTGCAGCACAGAAATATTTCGTGTGCTTCACCAAGTCAGTTATTAGGTGTTTCAATACCAGGCTGAGCCCTGACAGATAGAAGAATGGTCTGACTATTACCAAACTAAGTGTCCCTAAAGTAGTGAAGTCTTTTGCAATTCCACCTTGCCTTTAAAGTGAAAAATGAAACATTTTCAGGCATATTTCACCGGAAAGGAAGAATAGGCAGCGTTGCTCCTTTTACCTTACCCTCTACTGAGGCACAGTTTCTCTATCGATACTCGGGCATCAGAAGGTGCACAAATGAAAAAGCCAGCATGCAGAATTTGTTTAGTTCTCACAGTCCCTCCCTCCTCTCTCCACCTCCCTATTAGAAGTAACAAACCAGAGCGGGGAATTACCAGGGTATGACAGATAGCTTGGAAACATGGAAAACCTGTAGCTGAATTTATACACCGATATCACCTTTATCTGCTGCAACGGAGAGAATTAGGCATATCAAATCGCTCACCATACAGATATGGAATTTTGAAAACACTTACTATTGCACAAATGTTGACAGGATATTTTATTTACTGCATCATTAAAGGTTAAAGAGACTCATTCTCCAGAGGATTCATTTTTCCAACCCTTAATATCAATTAAAGCTAATTTCAGCTCTACCCTAATGATTAACATAAAATATGGAAAAAGCTTTAACTGAGCATTTCTGTTCATTACTTCAATTCTCTTGTATTGCTAGGGCACTTTATAGGTACTGATGCAGCTTTATATCACCCATGACACAGTTCATTTTCCCCTCAGAGCTTTTTTGGTTGCTGAACACTTGAAGATGTTGCAAAGATGCACAAAATACCTTGGATGATATGGATCAAAGTTTTTATTTAACCAGTTCATAGTTGATGATCAATGATTTTCTTTATGGGCTTTCCTACATGGCTGGGTAGGATGTCTACATACAAATTTATTTTGTTACATGGCCTACAGCTTCTGTATCATACGTATAATGTATAAGTGTACTTTGATATATTTGTGTAGCCAGAAGTTTGCAAATGGAGGACAATATACTGTTCAAGGAAAAATAAAAAACCTTGCCTGCCACTCATGAACTGAAGCCAGTCCAGTACAGCTGGATGCATTTACCCATCTTTTCTTGGCAAAATACTAGTTCCATCAAAGCACCATAGAGTGCCCAGAAAAATAAGTTATAGTCCAACCCCTGGACTATATCAAGGCTTTGTGCAGCCCAGCTGAGAAGGCACAGGTGCCACACCACAGCTCACCATCCTGGGGCTGTCCAACTGGTTTTGCACTGGAATTGTAGGTGATAGGACTGGAAAATACTTTTGGAAAATAGACCACACAGACCAACTGCCAGCATGGTGAGCAGAGTCTTGCACTAACTTGCCCCGAGCTTGTCTAACCTTTTCAGAACTTGTCTAGTTCTATCCTAATTTTAGGGTATTTATTGTTAACAAACACTAATCTGAGATCGATATGTATCCAAAGGTCACAGCAAAAGCCAGAGGGAAGGTGAGGAGCGCTACAGATGCTCCTAAGAAGGTCAGCTGCTGCCACTCAGGCTGCTCTCTGGTGGTAACCACACATCAATCAGCCCACCAGCAGCCTTAGCAACATCCATGGAAGCGAGCAGATGTCTGATGCGCCCAATAATTATAACAGACTCCAGTAGAAATCAGCAGGACGTGGAAGTGGGGGACATTCATTTGCAGATTCCCCTTGCCAAGAAATGAAGGGTTTCCCATGCTGGCTGTTGTGCTCGTGTCCTGTCACGATAGGCCCAGGACTCCACTGAGCTGTGTGCCTCTTCTCAGACAGGTCACTGAACCCACCACTCTTGTTTTTCCTCATCTTTTCAAGACGGCAGGTGGCCTTCTGCTTCCCCCTCCTGAATTTTCATGTTTAGCTTTCAATGACTGGAATTCATT